TATATTTATAAAAAAAGACTAATAATAGTATGTTATGCATCGATAGCAGCAACAGCTTTTCCAGGTTCTGCAGTCATATGAACAAAATTATAGACATTCAGCACAATCCATTAAAAAAAAAAAAAAACAAAGAAAAGAATAATATCCAGAAAGCAGCAAAGTTCTGTTGCTGTTGTATACCACAATATTCTTACATGAATTATGTTTCGGTTACATTTAGGTTTCCTTTTACAGAAAGATATGTTTCTTTTGGCAGTTGTAGTGACTGAAGAAAGTTAGCTATGCCTAAACACAGGTATTTAGAGATATAAAATGTGTTCAACCCAATCCATGGCAAGAAAGAACAAGTAGTGGATAATCAAAAGTTACATGCACAATGTGCTCCTGCAGAAATAACAGAGATATTTTAATTGCCCTCCCTGAGAGCTTCACTTTCCCTCAGTCAAATATCCCAAGTGATCTTTATTTTGTCCAATTCCACCTAAGCCCCAGCAGGGTGGCTATGGATCCCTTTGGCCCAGCTATAAATTCCCGGGTGGGGGAACCACAGAGAGACCTTGGAGAGCAACCAGCATGCACAGCAGTTCAGAGAGCCCAGCCCACTGCGGTGTAAGGAAAGCAAAGAGAATCCCAGCATTAGCAGAGCCTCATGGCCGTGAGCACAGGAGGCAGCTGAGCAGGAGGTGAGAGATGGAGTCCAGCGTGCTTCCAAGCTCCGCTCGGGCCAGGACCCAGCTCCCCACTGGTGACGGGATGGAAATGCAATAGGAGGGAGGGTGGCTGGAAAAGAAAGTGAAAGAATAAGTGAGAAAGTGTAATGGATCAACCAACTGAGCCATCACTCTGTCGGTAGTAGGTGCCTCGCATAGAACCTTCACTGTGCAACTGCAGCCATATGGGAACTCAGTCAACTCCTGCCCCTGAGCTGGAAGCTCACATATGTTCACTCCCTAACCTCACTTCACTTCAATGTGGGCTCTGCTTTTTCCTCTAAATTTGTATTTGATGTTTTATTTTTAAATATTAGATTCACAAGAGATTCCACCCATAAAACAGACCCCCAAGAACCTTTCCTACAGTCATTTCTCAGTGCTTATATCTCAAATAAATCTTATGCCCAAACTAGGATTGTTAGACTGGTACCATCTGGGGTGGGGTGGGATCTGTGTCATTTTCTCATGCAGGTTTCTGTAACCAGAAAAAGAATGAAGACATAGAACACACCTCCCAGGGTACAGAATCCATGCAGATCTCTCACGAGCTGCCCCTGGTAAGCAGACCACCTCCTCCTCCCCCAGACCTCCCACTCTGTCCCCGGCAGTTGCTAATCTGGTCTCCAGCTCCATTTTCCTCATTCTGGGTACCACCACAGAGGAGAAATTACACAGTATCTGACCTTTGGAAATCCCTTTTTTCTCATTCACTCAATGACCTTAAGATTTACCCATGTTGTTGCACTCATCAACAATCTGTTTCTTATTATTTCTGAGTACTATTTCACAGGATAGATGTACTGCATTTGCTTAGCAAACACTCCATTCTAGAACTTGTTAGTTGTTTATACTTTGGTGCTATTACAACCAAAAATGTTATAAAAATTATTTACCCATTTCGGTGTGGCCATAAATTTAGTGCAAACATAAGTGTCTAAACAAGAACTGGGTTGTATGGTAGTAGTACATGTGTAGATTTTCAGATACTACCAAACCATTTTCCAGAGTAACTATCACTTTACATTCCCACCAGCAACACATGACATATCCACTTGCTCAATATCTCCAGCACTTTTCTGTTTTTTATTTTAATACAGAAAATTCCTAAGTTCCTAATTTGCCAAGGCTAAACTCATATTTGCAATCTCCTGCCTCCACCACCTAAAGAACTGGGATTACAGGAGTGTGCCACCACTGCTGGCTTCAAAAATGTTTAACCTGCTCCATAACTTGCTTTTTCTTCTGTAGCCAGGCCCTCAGCAAATCAAAGGTTTTAATCTTTACAAGGATTGATTGATGGATGGACTGATTATCTATTCTGCTTTTTGGGTCAGGACTAAGAATTCCTCACTACATCCTAGGACCTGAAAATTTTGTATTATCTTCTGGAAGTTTCATGGCTTTATATTTTGCACTTCACTATGCAATGAGCAGAGGCAATATGGAAAGTTGTTTAAGTATAAAAGACTACAATCATCCCCCAAGAAGATTCTCTTACTCCAACTATTTCTACTTTAAAGAGAATGAACCAGAATTAAATGACAAAGGTTAAGAAAAGGGTAGGCTTGTAGAAATATAGAAAATTATATGTCAATAATGTCTCATGCAAAAACAATATGGATAAGTAGGAAAGTGCACTAATCTGTGCTCTGTGAATGTTAAAAAACAGGCTTTTTTTCAATGTAAAATGAATCCATCATCAAATTCACTGAATATGTGGTGGCTTCTTTTCAAGAAAATGGGGGTAAACAACTGCAAAATATAAATCCTGTGGGAATGTTTCTCAGGAAAGTCCAGGTCAAACACAATAATGTGAAATGTAAAACCCTACACTGTTCAAGAAATCTCAAAGATTTCATTTATTTTCTTGGTCCTTCTCTTCTCCATCTTGTCCAGACATTCAGTAGCCATGACACAAAAAAACAGCACTGAGGTGACTGAATTCTATCTTCTGGGATTTGGTGGACAACAAGAGTTCCAGGCTGTCCTCTTCTTTGTATTTCTTGTGATCTACACAACATCCATAGTGGGCAATAATGGGATGATCCTACTCATCAACACAGATTCCAGATTCCAAACACCCATGTACTTCTTCTTACAACATCTGGCTTTCGTTGACATCTGCTACACATCTGCCATCACTCCAAAGATGCTCCAGAATTTCATGGTAGGAAACAAATACATATCATTTGGAGAATGTGTTATACAACTTCTGATCTATGGAACATTTGCAGTCAGTGACTGTTACCTCCTGGCAGCTATGGCCGTAGACCGTTATGTAGCCATCTGTAAGCCACTACACTACCCTGTCATCATGTCCCGAACACTCTGCATCCAACTGGTAGCTGGCTCGTATCTCATAGGATCAATAAACGCCTCTGTACACACAGGATTTGCATTTTCCCTGTCCTTCTGCAAGTCCAACATCATTAATCACTTTTTCTGTGATCTTCCCCCAATTCTCACCCTCTCTTGTTCAAAAATTGACATCAACATCATATTATCGTTTATCTTTGGGGGATTTAACTGGACATTCACTATGTTGGTTGTGATCTTCTCCTACATCTACATCATGGCCGCCATCTTAAAGATGTCCTCCGCTGCGGGGAGGAAGAAGACCTTCTCCACCTGTGCCTCCCACCTGACGGCCATCACCATTTTCTATGGAACCCTCTCCTACATGTACTTACAGCCTCCTTCTGAGCATTCCCAGGAGAACATGAAAGTGGCCTCTGTATTCTATGGCATTATCATTCCCATGTTGAATCCTCTGATCTACAGCTTAAGAAACAAGGAGGTCAAAGAAGCTGTGAAAACAATAGTTAAAAAGCTCTTTATGTTGAGTTTAAGTTGTTAAAATTTGGCATGTACAAAGTACACAGTGGATATGTGTTACCACATTTATTCATTCCAAAATTGAGAACTGAGCTTTCAAATCAGGACTAACTCTTCAATATACAAAAATCTTAGGTTCTGGGAAGTGTTCTAAGACCTCTCCTGGAATTCATTTTCCTGGAAAACATATTTAGCAATGTATCTTACACAAGTCATAGAGAAATCTTAGTGGAGATTATTAAAAATATAAAGAAACATGCCTGAATTTTATAAAATGTGATTTTAAATATTTTTCAATGTGTTTTAATTAGTAAAAAAGAATGTATTTGAATATTTGCACCATAAAAAATTCGTTATTTTCTTCTCTTTATATAACTTCCTTAAATTACCTAAAGTGAGGTGCTTTGTAAATTCTGTTTAAATTATTACAGACATACTATTTAAAGTAAATTGATTGCTTTAAAATCATTTTATGACTCAAATTATCCTCTTTACCTAACATTCCCTTGATACACTCCCTACCTACCACTTGAAAACATTTATTTCTGTCATTAGTTTCTGTCTATATTTTTGTTCCATCTTTTTCTTGCCCAGGAAAAGAAACTCTACAAATATTTTGCATTCCTACCTCCAACCAAGAGAATCTAGACACAGACGGATCTAAAACCTAAGCAGTGATGATTCCTTGACAAAATCCTTACTGATCATTTCAGTAGATACAAGGTTAAGCTACAGAAGTTCAATAGGAAACTCAATGGCGGTCAAGAACCTACTGATTACCAAAAGTTAGCACAGAAAGAATTAAAGAGCAAATAACACATGAGGGAAAGAGTAGGGAAAATACATCTTCTTTCCATTAAAGCACCAATCTGCGGATCTAAAAGTGTACTGTGGGCTCCATGATGCCTAAGGAACTAGAATTCATGGTGAGCATGGGGTGAAAAGGACTGCTTCCAAACATTTTTATGAAGCAAATTAATACAAATAGCTCCTACAGTGGTCTGGTATCCACAAGTATTAATGTAACTGTAGAGAATAAAAATGACAACACAGATGAAATGGGAGAATATAAAAAAGGACACTGCAGCCAAACAAGTTCAATTTTACCACAGGCACACAGGAAAATTCAATATTGGAGGATCTAATAATGGTCTCTCCAAGAGATACCTGAACTCTGCTCATGCAGCGTGCCTCACAGTCGCCAGGACGTTGCAAATGTGCATCGATGGGTGAAAAGAGAAAGGAGACGCGGTATATGCCTATATGTGTGGACGATCATTCAGTCTTTCCAGGAAGCACATTTGGTCACTGGTGATGGACCCAGAGACCACTTCGCTAAGGGAAAAGAGCCCGACAGAGCAAGGCAAACACTGCACGCTCTCACATATAGGTGTGATCACTTGTGCAGCACAGGAGAAGGGTGTTTCCCCAGCTCTGGGGGTGGGTGATGGAGAGATGACCCTCAGTGCTACAAAGTTGCAGCCATACAAGGCAAATACATTTTGAAGGTCTACTGTACCAATAAGGTCTCTGGCTGACAATCCTGCACCATATACTAAACATATGGGAAAAGTGTAGATAGTGTGTTAAATATTCTTACCACAAAACAATATTCATAATAATAATAATAATATCAATAAAGGTAGCAAGAGGAAGCCTTGGAAGGTGGTGGATATGTGCATGGGTTTGACAGAGGCAAGGATTTCATGGGTGTTTACTTGTTCCCTGACACACTGAGTTGTACATAAATATCTACAACCAGGCTGAGATTTAGCTCAGTGGTTCCATCACCTCCCTCTCAAGTGCAAGGTCCCAAGTTTGATTCCCAGTACCAAAAAAAAAAAAAA